TTTTTATAGACGTAATAAATAATATAGATGTAATAAAGATGTAATACAGAAGTAATATAGATATAATAAATATGTAATATAGATTTAATAAAACTGTAATAAAGATGTAATATAAATGTAATAAAGATGTTTTATAGAAGTAATAAATAATATATAGATTTAATATAGAAGTAATAAAGCTGTAATAAGGATGTAATATAGAAATAAAATAGATGTAATAATTTTTTTCGTTCATTTATTTACCTGCTTCTATTTAAGGGGTCTTGGGTAGGTGGTCTCTGTGAGAGAGACAGGGGACACCTGGACAGGTGTCCAGTCCCTCACAGGGACTCAGACCAGGACTCCCCTGACCTCATTGTTGCTGTTTATGGTTTGATAAGTTTCACCCCAGTAATCTGAGAACAGACATTTAGTCCAGATTAGAGTCAGATATCAGCTCGTCAGACGATTCGTCCCTGATGATGTCGTGCCCTCAGGTGACCCTCAGTTACGTCCAACGTTTCGTCACTTTACCAGGGTTTTGTTTGTTTCTGGGTCCAGCAGCTTGTTGTTGTGTGTTCAGTCCAGTTCAGTCTCCTCTCTGACTCTACGAAGCTCAAAGTGAGCGCCGGTGCTGAGGGTTCTGTCAACCCTCTTGGTTCTGGCGGCTGCAGTCTTAGAGGAGCTCTGGCCCGTTGCAGATTCCCACGGAACAAAGGGGTGGAGGAGGAGGAAGGAGAGGGTACTCAGCTGAAGTAGGGGTATTGTTTACATATCAAGACACTTCCTCCCAGCTCCCAGGAAAAGCTGTAATTAGCTTTGCCAGGTTTTACACTTTAATTTCTCCATTATGCAGCAGGATCAGGGTTTAATTACAGAGGAGGAAGGAGCCGTAAGCCTCGGACACAAGGTGACGTCTCCTTCATTCACTTCTCCTCCTGGCTCCAGAACTTTCCAGCAGAGCCGCCCCGCTTTCCTGCAGAACCAGAGGTGAGGGAACCTTCAGGTTCAAACCACAGCGTTTACAGAGCGCGGCTCACCTCGTTAAACCAACCAGAGGCATTAAGTCATTTCATGACGGCTCGTCTTCTGACGGAACCATAACGACAGACGGGAGCAAATATTGACCCGAGTTCTGAACGTTAATGTGGAAACTTATACCTGGACCCTCTAAAACCATCTGTCAGCACGTCGTTAAGCTGTGGCTTCACTCTGAACAACTTCACAGGTGCTGGACCGCTTCGTCTTAAATATAAAGTTTAACCTAAAGAGACCAGAGCTGAACATTAAACCTGAGTCAGAAAATTCAAACTTTTACAGTTTAACCCTTTAAAAGCAGCTTTAGAGTTTTTCTGTCAGGTTTTAAACAGATTCATAAAAACTGGGCGGGGCTTAGAGAAATCCCAGGTACTCAGACTCTGGTTCCAAAAAATCCAACATGGCGGCTCCTGAACTGGACCAGAATGAGCCAGAACAAGTTTTTTTTTAATAAAAGTTTAAATTTAAAACTTTAAATCATGCTTCAGGAATTAAACCTTTTTCTCTGAGTTTTTATTAAAACCAGACATTTGTTCTTGTTTATTTGGTCCGTATTGTCCGGAGCGAGGTGTTTTCCGGGTTCATGCAGTGGTTTTAGTCTTGTGCCACGGCTGCAGAGATGTGGAGTTACTGCTCAAAAAGAAGCTGCAGTAAAAGATGTTTTTATTTTTAGGCGACACAAACCTCTCCTGTCCGTTAATCTTTCAGGATTTTATGTTTCGACTCTACAGGTTCATAAAAACTGACTTCAGTTGTTTCATCTCTGGACACAGATCCCAGCTCCGCCTCCACTCAGGCGTTTAAATCTTCATGTTGGAATAACTTAAAGCTTGTGAACATCTCACCTCCACCCAGTCCCTTATAGGACTGGGTGGACCCGGGGTCCCTGGGGTCCAGGTCTGGAGGTGATGGCGACCACATGTGGGTCGACTGGCGGTTGGACCGGGGGCAGATCAGATGTCCCGGGCCGGGCCGTCGCTGCGGTTAGCTTTAAATGRAGTCTTTGTGCAGCGGAAACACTCGGCTGGTGGCTCAGAGGAAACCTTCAGAGTCCTGAAGACCAGACAGATGTTTAAAGACTCTGAAGTGTTGGAAAAACCAAACATTTCAATCCTGGTTGTTAAACAGATCGTTTGTCTCAGACAGGAATGTCACRGGGTTAAAAATAGATCCAGATCAAACAGAAACTGTAAGATCCTGTTCTCTGTCTCACCTCCCATCAGCTGGCTGCGGCAGCCATCTTGGATCAGGCTCAGGAAGCGTGCTGAGAGCTCAGCGTCCTGCAGCAGTGTGGTGGAGGCAGAGCAGCCTGGTGTGTTTGTGATGTCAGCAGATGGTTTGTGTTTGTCTCCCTGGTCCTGCAGAGATAATCCCGCCTGTCCTCGTGTTGTTTTGTGTTTGGGAGCAGAGCGTCCCTCCGGGGCTTCTTTAAGACGGATAAAATAACACTTTCCAGGTTCTTAAATGAAGTTCAGGCCTGGAAAGGGGCTGTGAAGCGTCTCAGGCCTCCTCTGGATGAAGGGAAGATAAGACGCTGCCGTGGAGTCAGGACTTTGGCGGGGGTCCAAGGTCTGATTGTTTCCTGGTGTCGCCGCCTGGCCGGGCCGTCAGAACCGCTGACGGATCGCCTCGATCGTTTTTATCTCTGCTCTGATGTTAAATGTCTGAGGCTTCAGTTTGTTCCTGGTAATAAATAAAAAAACGAATGCAGCTGATTAAAGTTTATTAAAGTTTATTAAAGCTTCTTAAAGTTCATTAAAGCTTTAATAAAGTTTATTAAAGCTTGTTAAAGTTTATTAAAGCTTATTAAAGTTTATTACAGTTTATTAAAGCTTTAATAAAGTTTATTAAAGCTTATTAAAGTTTATTACAGTTTATTAAAGCTTTAATAAAGTTTATTAAAGTTTATTAAAGCTTTAATAAAGTTTATTAAAGCTTATTAAAGTTTATTACAGTTTATTA